TCTTCCTGAAGATTTTCTTTCTGGTTCATAATCACTCTGCCTCCAACTGGATTAGTGAAGCGTGTTTTCCTCAGAAAAGAGTGCAGCTGAAAGAGACACACCATTCTATAGTGTGTGTGTGCCCTTTCTTGAATTCAGAAAATGCATTTTATTTCATCTTAAAAGCAATATTAATGAAGGCGTCCAGGGGAGAAATAACAGTAAATCATGTGGACAAATAAAGTTATCATAATGTTCCTACAATTTAAGTTCTTTCAGAAAAAAAGTACCAAACAAAAGCACAGACATATACGCAGACAAAACACCAACTTGAAAACACACACACCATGACAGAGAGATAGAGACAGAGACATACAGAGATTCACTTCCATATAGACATACATAGTGCATCAACATACATTTTATATAGACAGACACACAAATGCCAACTCTCACACATGAAAACAATAGTACAGACAGGAAGACATATGCACCAAAACAGACAAACAAAACAGAAAGCTGAAAAGTATATAACGAGGGCCACAAACACAAGCACAAATTAAATTACAAATACACACAGGGAGACACTCATAGACAAAAACACCTACACAAAGAGCTATTGATATTAATGTATTTATGCTCATATACAAAGATAGATTGAGAGAAACAGACAGACAAACAAAAACAAAGATATACATATGTTCAAGCAATAATACAAAGTGAACCCAACACATATAAACACATGCACTGAAAAAGTACACAAAAAGTTATTCACAGAAACAAACTCCCATACAGAAAGACATTGATACAATAGAAATTTATTTCCAGTTCCTCAAACAGATAGATAAGCAAATATACAGAAAAAATATACATATGTATACCCACTAACACAGACACAATAAGAAATACCTAGAAATACAAAAACGTGAAACCATACACAAGAAGAACCATGCATTCATACTTATGTATACAAATGCATGTCTTAACTGAAGAATGACACTGTTTACTGTGTAATTACTTTCACTCAGGATGAGAAATGAGGTCCCAACCTCTTACAATGTGAGCGGATTCAGTTTAGAACACTTGAGAAAATCATCTCATAAACGGATTATCACATATTTGAAAATAAATATGCAAGGATTCATCTTCTCATAAAGAAGAAGATTAAGGAGGAAGGAATTGGGCTTACAGCTTTAGAATAGCTGTGGTGATTGTCAGGTACTCTGTAATAAAATCAATGTACTTTCTTTACACATTGTACCTTCCACACCATGTCTTTTGCATGAAGATTTATACCAGCATCCATTTCTACATCATTATGAAGAAAAATTTCCAGAAATCTTTCTATTTCATGAAATATTCCCTATTTTAGTAAATTGGGACATTTGACAAATATTTAAAGACATTGACATTGATGACATCAAATTTCATCCAAAAGAAGAAAATCTACCTTCAAGCAGTGAGCATAATGTCCTTTGCCATTATCCATGGATTGATTGTAAACATGCTGAAGAAACATTTCATGGAGGGCATGGGCCACAGCATACACCGCATTATATATGTCATAACTCTCATCACTAAAGGCCATGTCAAAAGTCTGTGCCTTTAGCCATTGCAATGAGGCATTGGATAAGCAATTCTTCAGAGTCTTACACATAGAAGCTGAGACTTTGCAGTTCAAATTCATCCACTCCAGCCTGGCCAGGAATTCGTCTGTGTATTTGAGAGGGTTCAATGTCTGGACAAATGTTTTAAAATGAGAAATCTCAGCATGATGGTGTGCAAAAGTTATTTTCCCATTGAATGAATTAAGTGGGAAGTCATTCTTAGTTGTAGTGCCATCCCACTGTGAGGTGGTGACCCATATTCTCTGTAAACCTAGAGATTGCCACCTTCTAAAGGCCACAGCTAGAGAACCCTTTGGGTCACCATAAATGACAACCACATTTG